GTTATAGAGAACGTTTCTACTTTGCCATTTTCTAGTCAAACATTATCGGCATTTAGCCTTCTTGTCCTTTTCCTTTTCGCTATTGTGTTTTGTAGAGTTATTTTGTTGTCGTCTAGTTTCTTAGGCTGCTTTATGACTAATTGAAAGTGATGTGAATATAACAGTGTTGCATTTTAATTCTTCAAGGCAAAAAGTTAAACACAATTACCTTTTTGGTTAATTTGTCAAATAACAACGATGATTACACATAATTAATCCTTTCTCTCTCGCTCTTTTCTTCTGACCAATTTTAAGATATGAGTTTGTTATCTCCGGCCAATGGGTGTGGACTTCTAAAGCCATGACGTCGGACCGAATTATGTTTATAACTACTTTTTGTTTATAGTTTTTAGTGGGTTAGATCTGAATTTTCCGTTCATCCGATCTTTTTTCCGACTTGGTTCAGATTTGCGGTTTCTGACTTTGATCGGATTAAATAATTTTCGGCTTGACCGGTTTTGTCTTCCGACTTAGTTCGGATTTGTTGTAGCCTTTCGTTTTTAATGATTAACCCGATGGCTTTTGTTTCAATTCTCCATTACGTTATGTGCTTTATTTAGTGGGCATAAATCTTTACTCAGCCTAGATGGCTTATAGGAGTAAAGTGTCTCGATCAATACCTGTTTCAACCATATTGAAGGTCCGTTTTGGGAGTTCCCTATTTTCCAAATTAGCGATCATGGAGATTTGATTCATCTGTATTCGGTTGCCAACGAAAGGTGATTTCAGAGAAAATATCGAAGCTCTCCGGCGATGAAGAGCCGCCGTGGACGGTGGAGTTTTTTCCAGGCGGCGGATGTTGAAGAAGAGTTCTTGAAGGTTCTGAGGATTTCTCTAATTTCATTGCCACGTGGATTGTAAAATAAGTCTATTGGTCTTTGTATGGGTTTTGTCTATGTATCCTATGATTTGTCCTTTATTGAGCTTTATTAATAAAATCAGTTGTCGACAAAAAAAAATAATAAAAAATTATATTTAGGATCAATTGGTGATATAACAAAAAAAATTATTATCTAATAATCTAACTAAAAATTCCAACTTTAGTTATTAGGATTTGGCCAGGTGCATTTTTGTTAGATTATTAGATATAATTTTTTTTTAGTCATCCATGCTAATTTCTCTTAAAAATAATCAAAAAACCTAGATTTAACATTTCTATGGGATGTATCTTAATGAAATATTCTTGAGAGTTTCTCACAAATATAATACTACTATTTTTTATTATAACTAGAGAACTATTTTTAACTTTATTCCAAACAGAGAACTAGTTATTTTTACGAAACTACTATATCAATTTCACTTTGGTAATGAAAATTGCATTCTCAAATACCACTAATAATCAATTCAAAGTAGTATAATTTGATCTCTACACTATCATAATGCAATTTAGTCTCCAAAAGTGAAAGAAAGTATTTGAAACAATTTCTTCTAAAATAAACCAAGCTTGAACCTCAAAGTTCTCCAACCACATCTTATCTTTCCCTCCCAAGCAACAATCATGAAATAAAACACCACTAAAACAACAATATAGACAAAACATCAAAACAAACAAACACAAAAGAATTCCACATCAGTTTTCATAAATCTTATATAAACCACACNTTATCAAAACCATAAAGAGTTGGTAAGAGATAAATAGAGTAGCTTTATCATGAAATCAAAATCAGTGGTGACTAAAGTTCTCTAATTTCAACAAACGAGCTAGCAATCAACTTCCTATAAGCATACCAATGTAAATTTAAGGATAAGGGAACAAAAAAAAACTCACAAGCAAGATTTAACTTCTTATAAGCATTATGCTAATTAGATGCCACACAAATTCAACCATCTTACACAACCAAGTGAGATGCATACCTCCACTAAAGTAAGTCTTCTTGATCAATTTGGTAGCATATGTAGATTACAATACATGAGAAATATCATGTCAGAACTACTCTGATATGAGTTACAAATGTAAAAATAATATTTATGTACCATTTCATGGCGAATACAAAGATCAAAATTGCAACTACCAACCTGCTGAGCAGCAACACATTATTGAAACTTCCTAGATCAGCAACTGCGAAAGCAAAAACGGTGTCTCTTAGCCGTCAGACAAAGAGTTGAGGTAGAATGAAGATTAACTTTTCCATTAAATGCATTTAATACTAAGAGGTGATATACATTGGTTTTCTTTAATACTTAACATCGAATTGTGATCTGAACTATTTCTTAGGCTGATACAACACTTATGGTATTTCTTTCTTGTCTCTTTGCCTCAAACACCTGTTTGAATCTAAAACTCCAAGATCAGTTTCAAACTTCCAGTTATCTAATTGTGTGAAAAGAATGTACTACTTTTGGTACCACTACTCAATGTATTAGAACATCGAAGATAGATTCACTTTAATAGTATCATAATGGTTCTACCTAACCTCAAGATGATAGACGGCCCAATAAGCAAAAACTTGTGGCCACTCTGAAGTCTCAAAACCGTAATTACCAAATCAACTGATCATTAGCATAACTAAACATTAACTATTAGTAAATAATAAACACATAAGCCAAACAAGACTCACTTGAGAGCATCAGGTCTAAACCAAACAAGAGACTTGAGAGAATCAAGTATAACCATTCTCTTAACCTTTTCATATGGAGGTGGGACTCCCTCATAGATCTTCAAGCGAGCAAGCGTAGCAGCACCACGTTTGGTCTTGTGTGGAATCCTGAGACCAAAAAAAAAATCTCAATTTCACAAAACTCTATTGCTACATTTCTGTTACTCAAACATGCAAACATGTAACACAATTGAACAATTGGATTTGCTAATTCTCTTAGTAACACAGAGAATACAGATTTGCATTCTCAAACCATTGTTTAAGGGGTTGAACATAACAACTGGCGCCTACCAACCAATCCAAAAGAGATTATCAAAACAAATCATAATGATTAGAATGCAAAACATCAATTTGACGAAACTCATAAGAGAAAACTTGATCTCCGTATGAATGTTACATTTCTCTTACTAGCACAAGCAAACATGAAACAAAATTAAACCATTATTTTTTTTCCAATAATCGAACCTCTGGTGTTTCATCCTTCGGCTTGTATTCCTTAGGCTGGAATAGCAGGTGAAGAGAGACGACACGAAACATTTTTTTTTGTTTTGTTAAAGAATATTTTAGGGATTTTGGAAAACTCAAACTCAACAGCTTGAAATCCGTCAATGATGTCGGAAGAGATCACACAGAACAAAATCGATACCTAGTTGAGAGAGAGAAGATGAGAATACCATCGATTTTCGCAGCACACAAGCCACAAATCTCTTCAACACAGAACGAAAGGGAGAGGACCCATCTCGTTTTTTGATATTAATCGAACCATATGATGGGAGAGGATTATCTGATTTCCAACGCTAAATTAGAAGAGAAAAATGTTTGGAAGATTTATGGTGTCTGAGGATAAATAACAAGTGCTCGACCCTTTTATTTTCCGTGGAAAAGTGTTTTGCCTTTTTTGTTTGAGGGTTTTTTCTTAAAAGTTTTTTTAAGGGACAAGTGTCAATAAAATAGGAGGCCACGTGTCACTCTCTGGAGAGTGCTGACCTTTTATTATATAATAGATCTTAGGATGGAATAGCAGGTGAAGAGAGGCGACACAAAACGTTTTTTTTTTGTTAAAGAATATTTTGGGGATTTTGGAAAATCCAAACTCAACAGCTTGAAACCCCTCAATGATGTCGGAAGAGATCATACAGAACAAAATCGATACCTAGTTGAGACAGAGAAGATGAAAATACCTTCAATGTTCGCAGCACACAAACCACAAATCTCTTCAACACAAAACGAAAGGAAGAGGATCCATCTAGTTTTTTGATATTAATCGAACCATATGATGGCAGAGGATTATCTGATTTCCAACGCTAAATTAGAAGAGAAAAACGCTTGGGAGATTTATGGTGTCTGAGGATAAATAACAAGTGCTCGACCCTTTGATTTTCAGTGGAAAAGTGTTTTGCCTTTTTTGTTTGAGGGTTTTTTCTTAAAAAAGTTTTTTTTAAGGGACAAGTGTCAATAAAATAGGAGGCCACGTTTCACTCTCTGGAAAGTGCTGGCCTCTTATTATATTATAGATTTAATTAAGTCATTTATTTTTATGTTATAAAAAAACATAGAACCAATTAAAACAAAACAAATGTCATTTGAGTCAGAGACTCTTGCCTTGGGTTCTCACTCTCTTTTTTTTTGTATATTTTTATCATTATTCTAATGAGGATATCTCATTTAGATACCTCAATAGAGGTGGCCTAATAGATAGGATTTGACCACATAAATGAGTTTTTGGTTAGATTTACGTTATTTTTAGTGATTAGTTCGTGTTACTACATTATACATACAAAGTATATCTACTACACGAACTGTACTATATATATCGCTATTTAGTATATATACTCCAAAAAAAAACTAATTCATCATATATAAACTTTCTCATTTTAACAGAAAGTATGCCAATGTATGTAAGAAGTAATAGTTTTCCTCTTTTAATTTTGCATTTAGATTTTAAGAAATCAGTTTACGAAAAGTAGAATCACTTGGTTTCTAGTTCTGAGCACGATATAATTATGACGCGTGCAATCACAATCAAGTGAGATTGTACATTTCAGATTCAAGAAAAAAAAATAGAAAAAAGGAGACTGTACATGTGAAATCCTCTACTTTTGGACCCAATATGTGAAATCGATCACTTTTGCTACCTAATTGAAATAACGACAAGGATTCTCTAAATGGTCTAACAGTTCAATGTGAAAACCTTAGGCTTCACTCGGTTAGCCCAAAATACACCAAACCACACATCAATTTACAATTATTATTTAAAGCACATAACATCAATAGATCTATTTAACATAAAAAACATTGAAATATATCCGGCGTGGACCACTTAAATCTCTTGATCTGCAAGACACAGCTTCATTTTTTTCGTCCTTTTCCAATTTTTGGAGTTTCAGTTTTTTATTTTTAAGTGGGCACATGTGCGATATATACCATTAATAAAAATTGTTTTGCTATGGAAGCTATTAATTAGTTAGAAACTACAAATATTATAAAATATTAGTTTCCTAGTGAAGCTATTGACTAATGGGGTTGGAAAACTACCACCACTATAAAATATGAGTTTCGTAATAAAGCTAC